TTCNGATTAAAAGCNGNTCATTATCTGGTCTTAATCCGGNTTATTATCAANTTAATTGGTTAAGAAGTTAAGTGAAAACAGTGAACCATCGTTAACCAAATTCTATGGGTTATGTGCTTTTGAACTTNTTTTTNGGGGCTATATAAACATTCAACGTTTATTTCATGGGTATATAGATTGGGAACTCTTGTTTCGTAGACAAATAAATAGAGGGAAAGTTTTGGGCTCTATATATGATTATGTGATAGTTCTCATGGGGATACAGACTGTCAACCCTTAGTTTTTCTTAATATTTATAATTCGTTTTCCATCAGAAATATAAAATAATATGTTGACTAAAAAAAAGAAGTCAAATATAATTTTAGAAGATAAATAAATTTAATTCACATAGAAATATGAGATCCAACTCGTCAACTCTGTAACTCAATTATTTTAGGATTTTGTTTTGTTGAACTATATTCACCGTATTGGTGGTGGTTTTGATGGAATTTGAAATGAATTCGTTGATAGATATTTGAGAAGACTATAGCTTAGATTGGTGTAAGTAAGCTTGTATAAAATCCTACCAATTTGAGTATGTAAAGTGTTTGATAAAATCTTAAGTGAATATTTGTACTTAGAACATGTACATGGATTTAAGTTTAGTATTGTCCAATAGAGTAGAAGTAGATTTGTTAAAGTTTGGGATTGAAACTTGAAATGACATTCGCTAAAAAGAAACAACAGATCGAACAATTTACTAAGACAATCATGGAACTTTGTAATGATTTCGAGAAATATTAGTTGGATAAAACAGAGCTCCACACATACTTTTTCTCTTATCAGTAGGACCGTGTTTCATGAAGAAAAAAGACATTTGCATAAGTCCCTAAAATATATAAAATTTTAGGGCCTTTATTTCCATATATATATATATAATCCTAGTTGTTTTAGTGAGTAAGTTTCATTCTTGTGTTTTCATCTCTGCTAGTACTGCTGCTGGTTGAATTCGATTCAACTTCCGCATTCAAGATTTCCAGTTTCTCTGGATTTGGTTCAGATGTATATTTTTGGTTCGTTAGCTCATGTTCTTTGGCTTAGTTACTGCATCTACATGTTCTTAAGGGAGTTCGTTGGATTGCTTCGTTTCGGCATTTTAGTTTTAGTTACTAGGTATTTTCTATTTCCTTCGTTGTTCAATCTCTTTGATTTAAGTATCTTGTTATCCGGTTTAAATTTTGCTTTCCTATTGCGGGATTGTGGCTCCCATGTTGCGGAATTGTGGCTTTTACATTGTAGTTCAAATTCTAGTTTTTAATATTATAGACAGGCAGTGCCGTGCGTAGGTTCGTAGGGGCTCTAGGCGAAATAAAAAATAGGGGCCCTTATAATAATAATAAA